TTTTGACTATATTATCTTCCACGTGGATTATTAGATGACATGTCATCGTGTTCCCGTTAGTTAACAGCACACGTCACTAGATTTTTAACGGAAGGACCAAATTGGGGTAAAAATGGTAAACAGTAGGGACCAAATCAGGGATTTTTTTAGTTTAGGGACCAAATCGGGGGTCCGTACAATAGTTCAGGGACCAAAAAAGGATTTTAACCTTAATTTTAATATATGCTATTCTATTCAAAGAAAATAAGAAATTGTATAAATAAGAATTCCAACTTTATATTTTTTTATTTAAAAATGTTAATTTTTCAGTTTTTAAATAAAAATATTAATTTTTAATTTTTTTCTATTTAAAGATTTGATTATTTTGTTCAAATTTTCAAGATTAATTGATAATGAAATTGAGAGTAGTGTGAAATATAAAAAATATTTTAAACATCATTTAAATAAACAAATAATATCTAAAAATTATTTACTAAATTCCAGAAAAAGACAACTTATTTATATTTTTTGATATATTTAATTATAAATTATATAAAAAAAATAACCCTCCCTTGTTTTTTAATTTCTCCTCGTCCAATTTAAGATTTGAATTTGACATCCTTTCGAACTCATAAACATTGAATCTCTCCATTGGAGTTGACAACTTATTTATATCAAAAAACCACATAAGTCTCCATCAAAAGTTCAATTTGCCTTTTTAGCTTCCTTTGCTCCTACAAAAGCACATACAGTCTTAACCAGAATAGGGACGGTAGGCTCATCCGGAAAAATTATAGGCCAACAATTGTCACCAAGGTTAGTCAGAGCCTCGCAACATTCTTTCCCCAAATTCGCAAAGTTATTATGGGAAATCAACTCTTTTATCGCATCGATGCATCCTCCCACACTCCCCAAAGACTTTATGCAATCTAAAATATTGTCTGGTTTCACTGCAGATGATGTTTCTTGTGTTTCTTCTGCAAGCGCCGGCGATAGAACTAGCATTGCAATGCATACCACAAGCTTCCACATAACAAAAGGTTTTGAGGACACAAGCTCCATGATAAAATTTTTAACCTTTTTAAGTGTTTGTATTGTGGTAGCTAGAATGAAAATTTGGTGGAATTTATAGTGTTTCTAAGGAAAAATTATTTGGGGCAAGAGATTTTTTTCCTTAAATTATGGATTTAGGTTGCTATATATGATTCATACTCTATACATCTTTTTTTTTTTCATTTTCTGCAAAACTCCATCACTTTATTATTATTATTATTAAGGTAATTTTTAGACAGATTTTATCACTTTTGACACTAATTTCTTCTTAAATAATCTAAAGAGCATAATTTTTTTATTGATTTAGTATATTTTAAAAAAAATTCTTTAATGGTTAGCTTCGAAATTCAAACACTGTATATAACTTATAATAATAATAGTAACTTACAAGTGAATCAAAGATTTGACCAAGCTCCTTCTTTGTTACCTACTACAAGTGTTTTTTATAATAAATTTTTTTCTATTCTTGCAATACTCCCCACCAGATTTGTTAGCTGATTTAGGTGGTTTTTCACGAATTTAAATTTCAATACTTATTTTCTTAATGAATCAAATGCTATCATCTTAAGTAATATAAAAATATTATAATTATAATATCATATGGTATTATAAGTGTATAGTATGATATATCATTATATATCATTATATAATTAGCTTTTTTCATTCAAGAATCCACCTGTGATTTTATTTAATACTATCTACTTATTTAATATCACATTATATTTTATTAAATATCCATAAGATTGTATACTATCTTATGTGGCATTATAAGTATAGCATTACTGCAAGTAATATTGCCACGCGAACTCTCTTAGTTGTCATACAAAGAATATTCTTTTTTCAAAAATAGAAAGGGATCTTTTCTAAGAATATTCTTTTAAAAAATTAAATAAAACATTTCATAAAAAGAAAAATTGTAAATCACGCATGGTTTCAATACCAATCTAACTTCTATGAATTTGCAAATTATGTAAATTAGTCCGTCTACTCCACTTTAAGTTGATGCTTACCCGTTCACTTTTTTTACTAGCAAATTACTCCCTCTATTTGTTGATCTAGGCAAATTGGACCTTATTTCATGGATGATGTCATTGGATGTCATTAATTCGTCTAATGTTCATTATTTCGTCAAATCACCCCCTTTAATTGTTAATTTGGAAAAATTATCTCTTATTACACGGATGACATCATTTGACATCATCAGTTGGTACTCATGCATATGTTTGATTCGTTCCCACCTTCATCTGCCCTGTTAATTTTTGTGTATATATATATATAACCTATATATATATATATATATTGTCTTGAAAACCTTCGTTTTAAAGTCAAGGGGAAGGAAAACAAATAAGAAAATTTCAAGTTTGGAGAAAGAAACAAAGAGAGCTTGATGAAGGTTCTAACAGACCAAATGAACGTTAGACAAATTAATGACATCAAATGACATCATCCATGAAATAAGGTTCAATTTGCCTAGATCAACAAATAATAACCCATTTCCATCAAACCTAGCATGCCTAGGTTCTTTCGAACCTAGTGGCAAAAAATTAAAAAACTTTTTTTTTTTTTTTGGATTTTGTTGTTTGATGATGATGAAGAACCCAGCAAGGGTAGAGATTGGTTGAGATGAATTGGTTGAGATGTTAGGATTTGCAAAGTTGAAGAAAGGGAAGAGGAAAGGGAAAAGGAAAGAGAAAAGGGAGGAACGAAAAAAATAAAAATAAAAAGGGAATTGTTTTTTGAGTGGGATGAGTTGAAATGCTATGTTATTTATTTTTGCCAACCTGTCAATTTTTATGTTTCTTCAGTTGATTAACATGAAAAATTTAATGGTAAGACCAAATTGGGGTTAAAATAGTAAACAGTAGAGACCAAATCAAAGATATTTTTAGTTTAGTGACCAAATTAAAGATCTATACAATAATTTAGGGTCCAAAATGGGGTTTTAACCAAAAAAATAAATAAGGCAGATGAAGGTGCTAATGTACCAAACGGAAATGTGATGAATTGATGATGTCAGATGATATTATCCATAAAATAAGAGGCCAATTTGCCTAGATCAACAAATAGAGGCAGTAATTTGCCAATGAAAAAAACTAAGGGGCTAATCATTAACCTGAAATGGAGTAGAGGAGCTGATTTTCATAATTTGCCGATTTATAAAAGTTAGATTAGGTGTTGAAAGCCATGCATTATTTACCTCCTTTTTTTGTGAAATGATTTATTTACATTTAAAAAAATCGAATAATCTTAGAAAATATTTATTTCTATTTTTGGAAAAAGAATATTCTTTGCATGACAACTAAGATAGTCGCATCGCAATATAAATTCCACCGAATTTTATACAAACACTTCAAAAAGTTAAAAATTTCTCATGGAGCTTGCGTCCTCAAAACCTTTTGTTATGTGGATGCTTGTGGTATGCATTGCAATGCTAGTTCTATCGCCGGCGCTTGCAGAAGAAACCCAAGAAACATCATCTGCAGTGAAACCAGACAATATTTTAGATTGCATAAAATCTTTGGGGAGTATGGAAGGATGCATCGATGCGATAAAAGAGTTGATGTCCTAATTTTGCGAATTTGGGGAAAGAATGTTGCGAGGCTCTGACTAGCCTTGGTGACAATTGTTGGCCTATAATTTTTCCGGATGAGCCTACTGTCCCTATTCTGGTGAAGACCGTACGTGCATTTTTAGGAGCAAAGGAGGCTAAAAAGGCAAATTGAACTTTTGATAGGGAAAGTACAATATTTTATATAATATTGATGCATATCAATCCATGAATGACTCTTTAAGAGAAATGCATGAATTATAAAACGTCGTATGATGTTGTATAAAATAATTTTTAACTAAATTAATCAAAACAAAAAAAAAATCAAGTAATTTAGAATTAAACAAAATATATTAATCTCTGATGATGGATAAGATAATGAGAAAAATGGAAGGGAGAGAGATTTGTTTGTCATTTTGATTTTATAGTAATTTATTTAATTAGTATTTTAATTATTATATCATAAAAAGAGTATTATGGATACTATAGAAATTCCTGATACATTTATGTTGAATTTTGTTCAAACATTTTTAATTATATAAGATTTGAAATTGAGTCTTCACTAAATAATGAAGAAAAATCTAATGAACATAGCATAGAGAAATTTTTCCTACATTATTTGATGATAAACATATCACACTTGGCATGTGATAGATTGGAATTTCATAAGTTTTATTGTGTTAATTTTATTGTATTCATAATTGAATAAATTTTGATTTCTCAATTTTTTTTTTTTGAACTTCAAATAAATTACATCATTAAATGTTAAGAGTAAACAACAATACCACCAAACATTTGGACTGATAATAAAGTCATATATATTCTTAATTACAAATTTAAAATTTAATCCCTAGTCATTACCACTATTAGAATGTATATATTTACCGATGACGAAGCTCATCGGTAAGTAGCAAAAATTGCGTTGGAAAATTACCTCACCCACTTGAAACATGTTGGTAAATTAGTGTCGGTATAAGTCTCCTCAATAAATGTAATATCCCAAAATTTTGTGCTATTTTAGCATTTAAGTAAGGGTTTTTTTGAGAGAAAATATTGTTTTGAGGCTTAATAATCGAAATTTCAAAGTTGAGGGACTTAAAAGAGGAAAGAATTTGGATAAGGATCCATTTTTTCCCTTCTTTCTTCTTCCTCACCCGCGTGTCTACTCTTCTTTTTCTTCCCCCTGCAGCCGAACAAGAAGCAAGCCCGACAACACCCAGCCCTTGAGAAATCGGTGAGCTTGATGAATTAATTCCCTTATTTTCTTGTTCTAGAACACATATAGAACCCAAAAATCTTTCCCCTCTGCAGAAAATCCCGGATCTGCTCTGTTCTTCCTTCCCTGCTGCTGATTTCAGCTTGGTGAGGGTGGGGATTTTTTGATTTTCTGGTAAGGGAACCACCATGAAATCATCTCTTTAGCTTTGATTTGGCTTGGGTTTACTCTAATTCCTCTTGGTTCTCCTAATTTTTGGTAGCCCCGTGAGCTTCACCTGCAGATTGTCGCCGGCCCTCCCCAAGCCACAGCTCCGGTTTTGCTAGGAAAATTCTGGTATGTTGACAGCTCCTCCAAGCCTAAAATTATCCATTTAATTTGCTGTCTTGTGATGTCCGAAATTCTGCAGAAAATGGGGATGAATTCCGGTATCTTTAGGACAAAATTAAGCATTGATTCAAGTGGGATTTATGTGATTAAGTGTTAATTGATTGTTATGAGATTTTGGAGAGAAATCCCGTGAATTAGCTAATGTTTTGGCCAATTTTTGGAAGTTGCAGTACTGTTCACGGCGTGAGCACTGTTCACGATACTGTTCATGGGTAATGGCCAACATTTAATGGGGATTTAAATGTTTAGTTTGTGATATAAGAATAAATTTGGAGATGTCCGATCATGTGAAGATTGATAGAAATAGTATCATGATTAGGGGTAGTCATGGTGATTTTACTTTTGAATCCATGTCACATAATTAATTTTTGGATATTTTGATTAGGTTCTTGATCGTTCTGTTAGTTTAGCACTGAGATCGAGTCTTCGGTTTTATGCAAGTGAGGTAACTAAATTTATGGTAATACCCATACAGTTTTTAAAAGCATGTTTTAACTTGTTTTGAAGTGGTGGCGAGACTAAACCCGTTTTATACAAAAGTAAGTATGATTGATTTGAAGTGAAATTTTTATGCTTTTCATTAAATTGAGCATGCCTACTTAAAATTTAATTGATTGTCCTGATGATCTGAAAGTGATTGGTGAATTATGGTTTTTCTGTTAACTTCTGCCTGTTTTGTCTCCGATGTGGTCATGTTATTAGTGACCCTGCTAATGGGGGTTATAAATGCTAGCACATGTCAACATGTTATTGATAGATTCGGTTCGTTCGAGTGACCCTGCTAGTGGGAGTTATACACCAGCAAATAGTGCGCCTACCAATGCGCGAATACACTGGTAATTACTGATCCCTGCTAGTGGGTGGTTTATAACACTGGCCGTGACCTATAAAGGAGACGTTTATTTTGTTCCCGTATTGTATCCGTTTTTCGTTATTACACTTGTTGGCATGCTATAAGTTTAATTAAGGGCACTCCATATTTTACTTATTGAGTTTATCTCATAATTTTTCCTTGTCCACCATTTCAGGAAGCGAAACCGAGAACAGGGAAACCACGGGCAGTGACTGTCATAACTCAAATTTTAGTAGAATTTTCTTTTATTTTTATTTTTATTTTTATTTCATCTAATATGTTTTGTCTTTATTTTACTTGTTAGGTTCATTCAAAGAAAAAGGGGGAGGGCAAAAAGGAAATTTTACGAAGAAGATTGGAAAAGAAGATGAGAAAAAGGACTCAATTGAAGAAATGGAAAGTTGGAGGGGTGAAATGCAAAGTCTACCCAAAACCCATCAAACCCAATCCAAAACCCACCAAACTCAAACCCAATTACCCAAAACCCAAAGCCTACCAACTACCCAAGCCCAAAATCCCAAAATCCCAAAACCAAAAATTACCCAAAAATCCAAAACCCAAGCCTACCAACTACCCAAGCCCAAAATCCCAATACCCATTTAACCCAAACCCAAAAAAAAGAAAGAAAGAAAAAAAAAGAAGGTGTCTGGAACCTTCTCTTTCCCCATCAAATTTGTTTTCTTCCCCATCAAATTTGTTTTTTTCCCGAACCAGCTCACGCCCTGCGCCCTGCGCCCTGCGGCCCGAACCCAGGTCCCCTGCACGTCCGAGCCTCGCCCCTGCACCAGCCTGCGCCCTTGCTCCCTGCTCTACGCCCGACGTGCCTCCTGCGCCCAGATCCCACGCAATCATCACTCCTGCACCTGCTCTGCACCGAATCTGCATCAATCTCGCCCCTGCACTGCGCCAGCCTTCCTCTGCACCAAATCCCCTTGCCGCCTGCTGCGCCGAACCCGCGTTGCTTGCACGCCTGCACTCTGCGCCAGCAATCATGCCCTCTGCACCGAGCCATGCCCCTGCCTCTGCTCGCTACAGTACATGCCAGAAAATCTTCATCATTATTGATTGACAGAGCAAGGCTTTTTTTTATTATTTTTATCTTTTATTTGGGTATATATATAGAGAAAAATCAGATTGAAAGGGGGGTTGGTTAGTTTTTTGAAGTTTGATAGAGAGGAGAGGTCGGTATTGATTTTATGGTTGGTTGATTTTGGGTCTGTTTTGTTGGGGAGTTTCGGCTGAGCTTCGAGAGCAATAGAAGGGGTTTTTCTTTGGTTTGAGCTTGGTGCTGACGGCGGTTGAAAGGGAGGCTAATTTCTCTGTGTTTGCTTCTACTTTAGGTAATTTCTTAACAGAGGAGCCTTCTGGGAATGGTGGTGAAGGGGACGATGGGAGCCTGGTCCCGTGGGTGGGATCCCTCCCATCAGATCTGGATCCATCTTACCCAAAAAGCTCTGCCGTGGGTGTTTTTCTTATTTTGGTGAATATTTCTGCATCTTTTTGTTTAATGTTCAAGCCTGTACATGTTCCGTTTGAAATTGAATGAAAAATCAAAAAAAAAAATTTTGTTCAGTTCATTTTGTCTGATGAATGTGCTTTCCTTTTTGTTTTTTTCGTTGATGAATGTGATCTTTTTATGATGAATGTGTTCTTTCTTTTGAAAATGACGAACCGTAATTTTACTCTCTTTTTTTTTTTATGTTCGATCTGTTTTTGCCTGTTTTAGTTGATGGGTTGTGTTTTTGTGGGTCGGGTTCCCGACCCAACCTAAAAAAAAACTAAAAAATGTTAAAAAGAAAAAAAAATATAAAAGTTTTTATTAATTAATTAGGTGAGTTAGTTTAATTTATGATTAATGAAGTTAATTAATTTTAATTAAAATAAATTAATCATATTTATGAAAATTTAATTTGAGATAATTAGATTGGTTTGATTATCTTAATTAAAGATGAGTAAATGTGATTAATTAATTTTAATTAATTTTAATTAATGTTAAGTTAATTATTTAATTAGACTAATTATCTCAATTAATTAATTTAAATTTTCAATTAACTTTAATGTTGGTCATAGTTAAAATTATCTTCGTTTATTTTAAGTTTTACCCAAAACTTTTGTAATTAAGCAATTCAGTCCATGGGTTTTAACTCTTTTCAAATTAGTCCTTTATGTTTTGAATTTAACCAAATCAGTCCCTCATGTTTTGAATTTAGTCAAATTAGTCCCCTTAATTTTTACTTGTGTTCATTGTGCATGCATGTCTTTGATTTTGTCCATTTTAGTCCAAAAAATAAAAAAATGTTTCGATTCAGTTTATCTCTTTTTCAAGTTTGCCTATTAAGACTCAAACATAAACATGATGAATAAGTTGAATCAAAACCCCCAATGTTCAAGTATGCAACCGTATTTAAACGGAGGATTGTGAGGTGCGCGTATGCCCTTCCTCACTCCTAACCGAACCCCTGAACCCCAATCTCTGTGCAGACCCGTTTTAGGTGACTTGTCCCACCTTATAATTTGGACGAGTGGCGACTCCCATATTTTTATATTTTCACACTCCCTTTTTCTTATATATTTCACATTTGATTTTTTCATTTATTTTGAAAGAAATCTTAAGTGGTCGTCAACAGTGACGAGTTAGAAGGCTAGCCATTTCGAGATTAATATAGATTTTAAAAATAAGTTATACTTTTGTAAGATAGATTTTACCTTGAATTTATGAGATCAAAACAGATTTCGGTCATTAGATCAATCACTTGGATTTAAGTCATTTTGGATATAGAAATAAATTGAGATGTTTGATTTAAGTTATGGAGTGGTATCAGATTATGGTATGACAAGTTTCAAACCTTGTGCATTTGTGGGATACTCTCACGAGTGCACGGTGTCTGTCACGTTCTCAAATTTGGGTTCTGGGGCGTGACAATAAATTATGCACCGACGTAATTAAAAACCATGTTAGTGAATTTCTTCAAATTATTGACAAATACCACGTCTACGAGTAACTCACAGGAAAAGTGTGTACCAGAGATCGAGGTCTTGTTGCCAGCCTATCTCTAAATTATCGACGTGGACCACATCTGCAAATCACTCACCGGGAAACCACCGACAGAGCTCAAAGTCTTGTTGTTGACCTTTCTCACATCGATAATTAAGGTTTCTAAATATATTTTTAATTTGTAGGAAACGTAAAATTCATTATACTTTATTGACAAAAAAGGTGAAAGGTGTTTAATAATCAATACCGACGAACAAAACGTCGGATGTGGTTTTTTAAGAAAAAAATTAATTTTTTCAATTGATACTCATATGTTTTTATTAGGTCTAATTTATTTATTGTCAAATTAATTTACAACATTTAATATTGTAAAAAGTAAATATAATATCAAATTTTATAATAAAAA